CACCTTCCTTGTATTACATTTGGATGTTAATTAACCTTTTAATACACAAACTAGAATTGACAAGTTTTGCGAGAAAGAAAATGACTAAAACATTTTTGCTAATTGTAATATTTTTAAATAAAACAAATAAAATTTATCAAATTACTCTTATTTAAAATAATAAAAAATATTTTTTTAACATTTATTTACATTCTTAAAGAAACTTTTTTTTTCCAAAATGTTAATAACAAAATTAACTGTGAGAAGAAAAATTAAACATTAATTAAAAAAAATTAATCTATAGGAGAAAATATAAATTACATGAATATTCACATTAATTATTTATTGTAAAGGAAAATTGAATCTTTAGTCAAAATTACCTGAAAGTAAGTTGTTAATATTATTGAAATCAAGACAGGCGTGAATATGTTAAACATTGAAGGGAATTTTTTTCACATTGATTTTGGTTTTAGTTTTTGGAAGTGTCAAAACAATTTAAGATGATAATAATTGATTTCGGAGTGATTTTAAAGTGTTTGGTTCGAATTGAAAATAAAATTATTTTAAATTATAATTTGTAATTTTTGAACCTAAACATTTTTATATTAAAATTTATTGTTCAAATTAATTTTTACATAAATGCATCCAAACATATTCAAATATAAATCAATTCTATTAAATTTAATTCTATTAACATCAATTTTATTAAATTCAATTCTATTAAAGTCAATTATATATTCTATTCAAATTCAAGCACAAGTTTTCAATATTCCTCCATTTCCGCTCAATTTTTGCGTTGTATTTTGAATTATTTAGCCTACTCTAAATACTATTGGATGCACTTGCTAAATTCAAAACATATTTTCAAGTACCAATTTTATTGTTTCTTTCGATTCAAACTTGGACATGAGAATTTAAAAAATAAATTGATTCAATAGTTGAACCATACAAATACAAAAAAATTGGATTTCTTTAAATTAATTTATTTGAATTTTTTGTTATACCATAAATACTTGTAATATTTTTTACAAAGGTTAAATAATTAATTTGTACATATAATTCAGCATATTTCTACTTTTCATCTCTGTATTATTATTTTTTTTTGTTGAAAAAGTCCTTAAATAGTTAACTTATGTTATGCCATAATTATTTATAAATTTTCAAGTCTCTATTTTTAATTAATAGTAAAACTTTCTTGCACTATTCATATTTATTATTTTCAATTCTCCCATTTAAATGTGAGTTTATCTATAAGATTCTTCTTCAAATGTATTTTTTTTTCATCCTCACACACTTATACTACCCCTTAAATGTGACACTTTTCAACAAGACACCTCCTATCCACCATCTAGTGCGAGTACTTTTGATATAAGGAAATTAGTCTCTCAGTCGAACCAAAGACTTATTATACCACTGTTGAATCAATTTGGAGATCAACACAAAATAACATTTTTCGTTGGGGGTTTTTCTTTATGAGCAACACATCTTCTGAAAACAAACCACACACTCACCCAAAACTTTAATAGGTGTGAGGGTTATTCCACTTATAAATGCTCAAGTCTCCATATTTTTAATCAATGTGAGACTTCTCCACACTACTCACACTTGTTATTCTCAACGGAGATGAAGAAAAAATAGAGACCGAAAAAAAATAGAGGTTGAATGTTGGAGATAACGAAAAAATAGAGGTTGGAGATGAGAAAAAAATGGAGGTTTGTTGGAAAATAAGTGTGAGTACTAAGTCCCCTACTGCTTAGAAAAGTGGAGGTTAAACACTTTATAAGTAAAATGACTCATACACCTATCACCTTAAGGTTTTTGGTGAGTATGTGGTGTCTCTCTCACTTATTTTGGTGAGTATTTCACCTTTAGGCGAGTGTTTGACCCAATGTATATGTTTCCCCTTCATGATGACCCATCAGTGGTATCAGTGTTCGGTTCGAGTAAGAGACCGACTCCTTGTGTCAAAAGTCTTCCTGACATAGTGGTCAGGCGGTGTGTTCCGTTGAAATGTCCATGATAATCAACGGTTATACAAACATGTGGATGAAAAAGCTTCTGCTTGAGGGAGAGTATAGTAAATCGACTCACACTTAAAGGAGAGGCTGGAGATGAGAAAAAATGAGATTAGAGGTTAGAGATGGATTGAGAAAGAAGAAGATAAATTTGTAAAAATAATTTTTTTAATTTTGTTATCCCATACCATATCACAAATGTTTATCAGGCAAGCGTTTTTGTAATGGAAATTTGACATTAAAAATTAAAAACAAATGAATATCACCAAAGAATTTTAAAAAAAAAAATAGAGACGAAAATAAAAAAAAAATATAGCAATTTACATAAATGAATTAACTATTTAAATCCTTTTAAAATAATTTATCAAAATAACTAATAATGTGATTATAAGATATTTTTCAATTTATTTATATAAGCTCTTAAGATAATTTATAAAAAACAATTTATACTATACAAAAATAATTTTATTTTATTTTTATTCAGAAAATCAAATCACAAACATATTAAAGATAAATTCTTACAAAAAATTTAAAAAAATAATAATTTATATTTTATAAGTCACTTTGTAAAGATGAGGGAAACTCAATATATAAGAATATTTAACCCTAAGATGATAGCTTAAGAAGTGATATATATTAATTAAGTTAAATAAATGTAAATTATTGGTATAAGTTCAATCAATGCCGATTATACTGATTTATATTTATATGTTAATGTAAATAAATTATTAATATTTATAAATTAACATTTTTATGAAAAAAATCAAACATTTTTATATTCAATGAGAACACGGGTTGAGGTCACATTCATATAAATCTAAGAAGAAAAAAAACTAATTAGAAGTGTATTTCAAATTTAGCCATAATAGTATTAAATACTTTTTTATGAGAATTCTTATTTTGTATTATTAATTTTTTTAATTTGAGAAATTAATTTCTGTAGTTTTACGCAAAATATATTCAATTTATACGGAAAAAATTTATATATAATTATATATAGACATCTCTCTTCTAATAAATCAATTTTATAAAGAAGTTATAAATACAATTTAAAAAGCATAATATGACTCAACTCCCTCATGTTTATATTATAAGAGCCATTTATTTTCAACATTTTTTTTAACATTTACTCTGTTTATTAGATAAAATATATGCAAAACATACCGCTTTATATAAAATCCAGATGTATTTCACTTAATAAATAAAGAGTGAGTTTTGAGATATATTTAGAAAAGAGTATTTTTAACATCTTTAATAATAATAATAATAATAATAATAATAATAATAATAATAATAATAATAATAATAATAATAATAATAATAATAATAATAATAATAATAATAATAATAATAATAATAATAATAATAATAATAATAATAATAATAATAATAATTTTATTTTGCATAATAGATGTTATAGCTTATTTATAATTGTTTAGCGTTGCTAATATAAATTTCAAATTAAGATTTTCATTTAAACATGACATTTGTCTTGAATATTGGAATCTATCTTTAGTTTTCTTCATTTAAAAAGTGGTGAGGGGGAAACCATTATCCCAATTTGGAAAATTGAACAAGGTTTTGAGCTGTTTGTAAGGGGTCATCCACTCATATCCAACATATTGGTAACAACCTTTTGTCCCTATAAACATATACATATCACTAAAGTTGGTCTCACCTCCAAAGGACAAACATTAGAAAGCTTTCAATAGAAATCTTCCACCCATTTAAAATCTCACCAAATTTAAGTCTTTTAAAGTATGTGAGTACTATAAATAATAGTTTCACATTAGATAAAAATATAGTGATTTAAGTATTCATAAGTGGGAGAATCGTACACTTAAAACTTTAAAGTTTTAAATAAATATGTAATGTCTCTCTTTCTAACAGCTCTATAAAATATTGAGATATTGATTTACTATGACTTCAAAACTCTTTAGGCTTAAAATTTTGCTATATGAACTTCATATCAAAACAACATCACTACCTCTCATATATTGTGATAATGACAATGTTGTCATGCTTGTATCTAACCCAATTCTACACTCCACAACAAAACACTTAGAACTTGATATTCATTTTATCAAAGAAAAGATCCAAACAAAGGAGTTAATTGTTTATCGTATTTATGCGGTTGAACAAACAGTTCACATCATAACTAATATGCATCTATAACTATGTTCTTCAATTGCAAATTCAAATTCAGAGTTATGATTACTAACTCTTGAGTTTGCAACGGAGTCTAAAGGTTATGAAAAATCAAGTTGAAGTTAATTAAGAATCAGTATATTAAATATTGTTGTAACTAACTTGTAGCAGCTAGTGTCCCGTTAAACTAACTTAATTAATAAATGTATAAAGATATTCAATTGTAGAGACGTATATTCGAATCTATGATATTTTATTTATTCGTGTGAAATTATAAAGAGTCCAATAATGAATTATAACAAAAAAAAATCATACCCATATGATCCTTTGAACAAGGATTCAACACATTTTTGATCACTTTTCTAAACTACCCAAAGTACTTTTCAAAAGCATTCAACCAAGCCTATATGAGTGGGTCACCCTACCTGAACGCTCCCATCACATACTCACGGACAATTTCCCTTTAAATTTAAAGACATAATATTGCAACCTACCTACCAAAATAGAACCATCAATCGTCATGTTTCGTTTACATTACTATGTCTTATGGGCCTCAAATTAAAAGGGCTTTCATCATTCATGTACCTGGCTGTGACGTGGGTATGTAATTTACCATAATACCCTCATAAAACCAATTTCTGTCACACAACCGGTTCAACAAACATAAACATCTTAGGTTAATTCTTGTCTGTTTCTACCAATAACTAATCCACTATCAAAGGTTCTTGTTCTTTTTTCCTAACCTCTAAACCCTTTTTGTTTATCACAACAAAAACAAAACCACTTTCACTATTTCTAATCCATATTCACATTTTTGTCTTTCACTTTCATATTCTCGTAATCATATCTAACTCTCAAATGGGACAAAAATCAGATTTCAAAGCCAAGTTGGTCTTAGAAATTTGCTCTATTTCAACACGTTTTGCAACCTGTGTTCATACCATTCTTTCAAACCCAACCAAAACAACTTTCATTGACTGGTATTGCATTCTTGGAGTAAGTTCTTTCAAAACTTTATTTTTGGTTCTTTCTCGTTGGTAAATATATCTTAATATTGGGTTCTCATAGGTGGAAGAAAATGCAGGGGTGAATGCCATTCGCAAGAGATACCGTAAATTGGGTAGGCTTAACTGGTTTTGGTTTGGGTTTTAGTATTGTATGAACAATGAGAAAGAAATTCTTATTTGGTTTTTGTATGTAGCTTTGCAGCTTCACCCAGATAAGAACAAACATCCAAAAGCTGAAATTGCCTTCAAGCTTGTTTCTGAGGCAAATGCATGTCTAACTAATGAAGCAAAACGAGAAGCTTTTGATTTTGCAAGGTACAAACATTTCTGCATTGAGTGCAAAAGAATTCCATATACATCAGCCAATGTTTCCGTCAATTCCAATGGTTCAAGTTTCAAGGCATGGAATGTTATCACAAGGTCAAGATCTTTAAAGTTTTGGAGAAATATTAGGGAGGTTAAAGAGAGACTTAAGGAAGAGGCTAATGTGATTGATTATTGTTTGAAAGTAAATTCAATGTCACGGAATGAATCAACACTCTACAATCAAGATAATTGTCTCGATAGGAGCAAGTCCGTGCATAAATTCGAGAAAGAAACTCCTGTTTTCGATCCATCGGATTACTTGTGCCGAGGCTATCCTCATACGAGAGGCTTTGTTAACAAGAATTCTTCCATGTTTTGGTATTTGCAGACGAATAGTATGGTCCAAAATGAAGCTAGAGGAGCACGATATAGTTCTCCGGTTTTTGAGGTCAAAAGAAGGAGCATGTTTTCAAACGAGTTTGCTTTTGTACCATCGAGATATTAGTTATCTTTAGAACATTTTTACTTTCAATGGAAGCAATATGATTGTCCCATTCTGGTTTTAATTACCTTTCATTTTTGAATTTGTCTTGATACGTATAAGAGGCTTGTGAAAAAGAAAGGTTTTGTATTTGTTCCACATCAAAAACGTACAAAATAAAATGAGGGAAATTGCTTATAAAATTTGTCTATGTGTTCCACATCGGAAATGTTTAAACTATTTGCATATTAACTTTACAAATCTCAAATATCGCTGAAGCGCAGGAAATTCTCAAATTTGCATTAAGGAGTAAAATTAATATTTTTTGGGTATTAAATAGAGAATGGAACATTGATATAATTTTAAGACTATCACTTTTTGTTCAATTCACTTACTAATAGATTATAGTAAGGTTCCTGATAATTGGAGCTAAGCAATTATTAGTACTCTCTAAAAAAAAAATAGATTTTATGTTGTTCTTTTTGAATTTTTTGATTGGCTTACGTAAAAAAAACATAAACAATATGTATTTTAGAAAACATGTAAAACAAGATGCGTCATGTGTTGTGTTACATGTTGTGTTATAATATTTGAGTTAACAAATGTTGTGTTACAATATTTGAGTTAGTTGTTAAGAAGAGTTGTTCTGTTAAAGTGTTTGACATAATTAGTTAAGCAAAAATTGTTTAACTAAAGTGTTTGACATAATTAGTTAAATAATAGGTTTAAGGTGCGGGTTCTAACTATTTTTTGATGTCTTTCAAAAAAGTTGTGGAGTTGACTTCTTCAGCAGAAGAAGTTTGTGTTGATAATCAAAAATCAACTTGATAAGATTTGGATCTATTACAATCAAAGGAGATTTGACTAATGTACCTTTAAGGAAGATTCGGTCAAATAAAAACTCTAGAAAGAAGACTTATGCGAAGAAGATTTGTTTTAGATGTTCTAGTGTAACATGTGGAACACGATGTTTTAACATGTGTGTTACAACATATGGTCTTTATCAATAAGACAAATGTTATTGTGTGTTGCAACATATGATCTCTAGCAATAGACAGATGGTATTGTAGTTTATTTTCTATCCAAGATACTCTCTACAACAGAAGATCTACAAGTTATGAAGAAGAGTTAATTTTGATGTACTATTGTAACATGTGGAACACAATGCTCCAACATGTGCAATGCAACATCTAGTATTGTTCAGCAAATCATGATGGGTGTCGTTTTGGCCTTGTTCAACATGTGTTATTTACTATTTTTTTCTTCATTATCTTGTATAAGTTAAATTGTCATATCTTGCTTGCAAAGTGTTTTTTTTTCATTTCTGGTTTATAATGTCACAGACATCGTTTCTGACGTTTGCCTCCAGAAGTTGTAATCTGTCATCAAATAGTAGTACTTGTTGTCTTAGGCATTTGATCCAACATTTATCCCCTAACAAAATGAATTTACGATTGGCATCAAAGCAGACACCCTATTTTGTTTGGTGGGTTTCAAGGTTCTTATTTTGTTCAGGATGAAGAACTTCAAATAAGGATGAGCTATTTATCAACCAAATATTTGTTATGGTGCTAAGAATCCTCCAAGGATTATTAACATATATGAAGAGTGTGATGTCCAAGCGGAATATATTTCTAAAGAGAATCTCAGGCTTGCTAAGATCTTTAGCAAATTCATAAGACAACTTGACCAAATATCTAGGAAGAATGTTTCCACCAATGTCAATAACATTCATCATAAAGAGAAGGATGGTGAAAGACAAAATCACAATTACTCCTACAGATGGAAACAGGTCCAATGTGTGAATTGCAAAGACTTTGGACACATTCAAGTTGAATGCTCAGGGTTTCATAAGGGATAAATAAGAATCTCAAATGTCACTAATGATGAAAAATGTGAGTTTAACCAGGGATACAATGGTGGTTCTTTCAAAGTCATGTGAGATAAAATGCATACTAGTGAGCAATCAAATTCTAAGAAAATGTGCATTGTTTCTATTTAGAAATCCAAATGCAACATGCCAGATAACATGCCTCAATATTGGGTCAAACATGTTTACCAGCACTTTAAGTGTGTCCCCTCCATTCTCGTGTACTACTGTAAGTTATATGGTAGACATCCTCACCATCAACAGATATATCCTTAGATGAATAAGAAGTTTCAAATGCAACATCAACAAGTTTGGCTTGGCAAGCCTAATATTCATGTTGCTTGTTTCTCCCACAAAGAATTCTCTTGTGAAGATTGGTATTTTGAAAGTAGCAGCATTAGAAGGATGATAGGAGAAATAAATTTTGTTAGACCGTGTGATAGCCAAAAGAAAAAGAAGCCTGTGAAGATGAAGATGGTGGTTGCCACTACAGAGCAGATTGTTGAAGATCACGTTTTAGCCACCATTGATGTTGTGAACGTATGTCGCGACCTTTGCCTTGGCCCTAACCATGACTGTTGAATTGTAGGTAAAGGGGGTGTTTTTGTTATCATCTCCACAGGGATTGTTCTGATATGGGATGCTTGTCGTTCAATAGTTTACCGTTTCAAGAAAATGTTTTTTCAAAGTATGTTTCATAAATTATCACGATTTAGTAGCTAAGCTTATAAATTCTAAGGTTTGTTTAACAAAGTATATCAAAAGTAGTTTTCATCTACTGTAACTAATACGTATTCTTTCAATCTTGCATGTGAAGTCGGATCCGATTAATATCGTCGTATATTCTCTCAATATTGTCTGTGTCTAGAGCGGTTTCGTGAGAAATACTGTATTCATCGCCGCACGATCTCTCCAAATAACAACCAATATAGTAAGAACAAAAATATTCATCATATACTAATCATCAGTTGTTCACATGCAAGGCCAATCAAAAGAAATACATAAAGCTAAGGTAGACTAGTTCTGCCTTTGATATAAAGAAAATTAGCTATCCATAACCATGGTAGCTTGCTTTACAAGTCTTGAGAGAAGATGAATGAGCATCCACGTCGAAGAATCAATCTTGGATGCGAGTCTAACTTCTATTTGAAAAATCTCACTCTTTGGTGAAGAAATGCAGAAAATATAGGTTTCTATGTGATAATGGGGATATGATCCCAAAAAAGTGTAAAAAGTACATGTATAGTACTTCCAAAATCTGTCAAGTTCGCCCAGCGAACACCACTTTATGGCACCTAAAGTGCCTCTGAATAGTTAAACCTCCCCTGAGAAAATATCTGAGTTTGCGTAACAAACATTTCTTCGCCCAACGAGCTTATTCGCTACAAGTTCACACAACAAACTTATGACCCTTTTCTTATTGACTATAATCTGGGATGGTTCGTTGAGGCTTCGCTGCAACTTCGCCCAGCGAACATGTTGAATCTTCTACTTTTCTTTGGTTTCCTTGTTAATTCACTTGTATCTTACTCTTTGATAGGTTATGCCTAAATCCTGCACAATAACACACATATCAAAGCAACCAAGGGTATTTGCACATAATTGAAGAATAGCATGAAAACATGGAATAAATCCATTGAAACATAACAAATGAGATGAAAAATGCCAAATATAATGGATCAAATTAAAACTTGTTTGGCATTCAACAAACTCTCCTTAACTAGATGTTTGCTTGTCCTCAAGCATAGTATGCCTCTCATTGAAAATAAGAGGATTTTCTCAAGCATTTAATTCAACCAAGAATGAATTTATTGCTCAAATTAAACATACAAATGCACGCAAGCCATATTCACCACTTCCTAGAATCAAAGAATGATAAGAATTTAGTTCTTAAACAAATATCATGCAATGTTTGAAATAAAAACTAAACTCTCATGCTTGAATCACTCTAACACTCCTCTTCAAAATAAGAATGAATAAATTAACGTGTTTGCAACCGCGGGACAATTTCATTCACCTGACAAACAATGCAAATAGCAATCATATTCATACATTAATCTAATTAATCAAAAATGAAATCATGGAAGCAAGAATATCACAAAAGTCTTTTAAGGTTGTAGTTTGGTTAGGTTCACACAAAAAAAGGGACATTACTAAGACCATGGAATCAAAGTTGCAAATGCAAAAAAAAAAACATTTACTATACAAGGTTATGTACACATTGCAACTTCATCCAACACTTTCTTTTATTTATTGTTCACCCTTTCAAACTTTCTTAATGCACATTATTCATTCCCTATTTGTCTCTTTCAAACAAGCATGCTTTTTCTTTTTCTTTTCACATTCATATTCACAATTTTCTTTTCGATGCTTGTTTAAAATTGTTTCAAAATTTTTTAGTAACCTACCACTTTTCTTTTCACTCTCCCTAACTTGAATTTAACCAAACCTCAAGTGAATTTTCCTTGCTTTTTATGGAAAGGAAGACAGTTTAGAACAATGTTTAAAGGTTTAAGAAATTCTTTTTAGAATCCCACAAAACTCAATGATGAACTATATTTTAATTTATGTACATGCACCAAGTTCATCACTAAATTATGATCTAAACTATTAAGCTCAATGGGTTAGCAAACTCTCACTACTCACGGGTGTTGCACCCCAAAATTTGACCAACATTTCTTTACCTAGCTTATGTTTCATTTCATGCACATTAGTATTATCATTTGCATTTCATTAACATGTATGCAGGAGATTGTCGCACCTCGAAAAATCACGGAGATATTTCGTAGAAAACGACCCTCGCGCGAAAGGCGCGGAAATGCGGTTCGACAGAGTCGCCACCGAACTTTATTTTTCCCGAATAAACGGGAGAGGAAAATATCGAGAAAACCTCTTAAAAACGAAAGGATAGGAACAGGGTTGTCGCAACCAAGTTCCGGGTTAGGGAGTCGGTTACGCGAGGGAAAGGTATTAGCACCCCTCATGTCCGTTGTACTCAACGGGAACCTCTTAAGATATTTTGTGGAGAGTGTTGTCTAGGTTTATTTGTTTTTTTTTTCTCGTTGGTAAAGGTTGAATTGGTAGGTTAAAAGGTTAAAGATGCTAAGGAGAGATGGGTGGTTAGAAGATAGGGTGCTCGCCAAGGATTGGGGCC